CTTGTGCTGCTATCTGCTAGTGTAGTATAAGGGTAACCTTGTACAAGTTATATAATTATAATTGAATTCACAATAAAAGCAGTAGATGCCATAACTAATGGCCTTAGTAAAAGCAAAAAAAAAAAAAAAAAATATATATATATATATATAAATAAGAATATTTTATACTAACTAATTTTTTGATTTTAAAATTTTCAACCAACTCCTCAATACTATTAATTAACTTTTACAAAAAAGGTGTAACAACTTAGTGAAGTAGATAAGTTGTCATCTCTTTAAGTAATAGGTTGTAAGTTCAAAACTTATCAATAATGAAATTTAGTTAATTATCTATGTAATATATAAACAGCATTATGGCAATAGCATTCTGTCAATCAGTTAGAATAGAATATTTGTAACTATGATCATACTAGCATAACTGGCAGGTCTAAAAAATCTGTATAATCTTGGTTATACAGAGGAATGCAAACTGGTACTGAGTAGTGCAAACCTAAAATAAGTTCTTAGACTATATAAATCTGTAGAACTAGGAAGCTAAGCTTACTTAAAAATTCCAAGCAAAGAAGTAATATAAATCTTTAACAGACTATTGTAAAGGCTAGATCTAGAAAATAAATACCAATATAGAGGAATTGGGTAGGCAAAAACTTTAGATAAGAGGTACTACCAACTAGGCTGCCAAATTTTAGACTAAAAGAAAAGAATATTAGGCCAGCCTTAATATACCAAGAACAGATTATGGTTTTTTTAGACTATCTAAATTAGAAGTCTAAGGTCAAAATAAAGATATACTAAAAGTACTAAAGATATGCTATGAAATCAGTGCTAGAATCTGGGTGAACTTTGTAAGAGTAGCCTTTGTTAATGTTCTAAAAATAGATAGATAGTTAACAATAAAGGACCCCTTGTGTCTTACTAGCAAGTGATGTACTTTGAAATATATAATGGTCTATAAACTAGTATAAAAAAGATAGGTATCATACTGCTCAAACAGTATACCAGTTAGGTATATATGAGGGGTTAGTTGGAGTTACATCATAACAAAATAGATAATTAGAAAATTTAAATAAATAATCTCTTAGTAGATTATAAATATAGCATTTAGTATAGAACCTTAGAGCAGATTACTTAAATAAGCAACCAAAAGTTGCATATATAACTAGTTGTATTCTTATTTCTGTAAAAATAGTTGTAATAACTAACCTAATAAAAGTTAATAAAGTATCACTACAAAGTATAGCCTTTAACAAAAAAAAAAAAAAAAAACTTGTTACAAAAGTTGTTAAAATGTCTTTTAGTGATGTAAAGCTATTTAACACCTTTAGTTAAATTGAGATTATATTTAATAATTTGTTTTACTAATTTTTTAAGCATTTTTTTAGAAGAATTTTAAATATGAAAAAAAAGATACTTTAATTCTTCTAAAAAGTTATGACCAGCCTTTACCTATTATATAAATTTTTTAGAAGATTATAAAAATAATTAAGAAAATAAAAAAAATAAGTTTATTTTATTATTTTGATTTTGTATTATAGTTGATAATGTTGAAAAGATAGAGTGCATAAATTGTGAACTATTTGTAGCTAAAGTTTAAATTAATAAGTTCACAGTATTTGTAAGTTAAAGATATTAGAGTTTGTATATAGTCATAAACAAATTTGATAAATTGTTATATTGTTAAATATTAATAAAATAGGTATACTATTAGAGGTAAAACCTAATAAATTGCTTGAAAAATTCAATTCTAGAATTAATAATGTTTTTAAAGACATAACTATTGGATTAGTTAAAAGCTAATAAAAAGAAACAAAATCATTCAGATTATTAGATCTTGTCTTCAGAACTGATAATGATTGTCTTTGAAGTAAATTATTAGATCTTGTCTCTAGAACTGATGATGATTGTTTTGAAAACACAACTTTTGAATTTAAGATTAGTGATGATTGTCTTGAAGGTGTAGTTACTTAAGATGAAATTTCTGACTTTAGAGCTAGTAACATATTTTCTAATTCTAGATTTAGTGATTTGATATCTAATTCTAGCTCTGGTAATAGTTGCCATAAAGGTATAGTATTTGAAAATTGAGATAATCTACCAGTATTTGCAACTTTATTGTTGTTTAAAAGTAAAGATTATAATAAATAGAAGTAGTTAATTTATAAATATATAAAATATTATTTATTTTGTATATTATTATTACTATTCAAAAGTTTATTAACTATTTGTAACAATAAAGAAGCAACTGTTTCTTGCTTTTTTTTGCACTATTATTTACTGACAGTATTTGTTTTATTTTGTAAGCTATTATTATTTAAAATATTAATTTTTTTTATAGTTCTATTTAACAGATTTAGTAGCAGCAGATATTTTATTGTTTGCAAGTCTCCTTGAATTTCTAGTATTTATGTTTAAATAATAAAAATAAGAATAATATAAAATAGATATAATATTTTTTTAAAAAACTTTATTATATATAATTACAACTTTTATTAATTATACAATTTATCAGTATTATTTAAAATTTATTATTAGAAGAGTTGCTAAAAAATTGTAAATGTTATTAGCATTATAGAAGTTATGAGAAGGTTATTATTATAAATGTTTTTTTAATATACTATTTTTGTAGTCTTAGAAATGTGATCAATTAAATAGTCATGTCTTCAATAGTTTAAAATAAAAAAAATTTAATTTATAATTTTTAAAAATTAAATTACATACAAATTTATTTTATAACCAAGCAGACTCCTTAGTAAAACAAGAAACTTTCAAACCCATTCTAGAACTATTACTGCCAAGTACTTCAACTTACTTTCTATGAAATAATCATCTTATATCATTCAAAATTTGTAACTTTATTAAAAATACTATTACAATTCAAGAATTTTCTTTTTGGTTTATACTTAAATACTTCCAAAATACCTTAGAACCTAACTGGGCTTTCAACTTTCAAATAATCAAATCTATAAAACATGACACTCAAAAATACTCTTTTTGTATCAAAATTCTTATCAATAACCTGCCCACTATGAAAAATTTTAATATACACTATTCTTATCTCTATACAACATTAATATGCTCCTAATGTACAAACCTCAAAGACACTCTCTATTTCTTCCTCTGTGCAGGCAATAATATTAATATAAACCAAGCAATTCTCAATACAATTTAATTAACACTCACCTCATTTCAAATATCTAATAGTTTAGCACCCTCTATTTTTAATATTATTTCAAACTTTACAGCCAATTACACTAATCCTAATTACCAATCTATCTTATATGCCATATCTGGCACTTTCTCTAAAACCATCTACAATAATATTAAAGTTCTTTTAAACAAACAAACAAATATCTTTTTAACTAATCTAGCCAACAATCTTCTTATCTGATACTATCAAAACCTATGATTTACATACAACATATCTCAACATCAATAAAAACTTGCTTGAAATATAACTACTAAAACTAAATATACAAAAATTCACTTCTCAACAATATCTATTTCTACTAACACCTTCCAAGAACTACACAAACTCTTAATACTATACTAGCAATTAACAAATAGCTCTTACAAGGTTTTACTCTAACT